GAACTGTTGCTGTAATCTGTGTACTATTGTGAAACAACCTTGTTGGAACATACTTGTATTGTGAGAGTCTAGCTGAAACATACAACTATTACGACAGTCTTGAAACATACACCTATTACGACATTCTTTTTGAAACACACCTATTATAACAGTCGTATTGGAATATACATATATTATAACAGTCTTGTTGGAACATACCTCTATTATGACAGTATCGGTGAAACATATCTTATGACATTCTTGATTTAAAACATACCTTGATTATGACCTATGGAACATACACCTGATGTGACAGTCATGTTGGAACATACACCTATTATGGCAATATTGTTGGAACATACACCTATTATGGCAGTATTGTTGGAACACAAACCTATTACGACATAAAACTGTTGCAATATAGATCTATTCTGACACTTATATCATGTGTAACGTGACCTTGCTAAGTAGTGGATCATTTTAGTGCAACAGCCATTAACATTATTAAAACGAGGGATCGATTTACCATAGTTTACGTTTAACTCTTTTAAAATTCACTTTGTTCTAAAAATTAATTTGATGTTAACTGTGATTCTCATTACAACAAGCACACCCCATATGCCGATAGCCCATTATAACATCATGTCATAAGGTGATGGCTGCGATTATATTTGTTTCATTTTTACTATAATGCTACTACGTGATATACTTCAATTTGGTTTAATTCTAGGTTAATGAATCATCATTAAGTAACATTTTATGGTTTGTATGTGATATATTCATTATAGCATATATATCATGGTTTGTATGTGATGTATTCATTATAGCATATATATCATGGTTTGTATGTGATGTATTCATTATAGCATATATATCATGGTTTGTATGTGATGTATTCATTATAGCATATATATCATGGTTTGTATGTGATGTATTCATTATAGCATATATATCATGGTTTGTATGTGATGTATTCATTATAGCATATACATCATGGTTTGTATGTGATGTATTCATTATAGCATATACATCATGGTTTGTATGTGATGTATTCATTATAGCATATACATCATGGTTTGTATGTGATGTATTCATTAAAGCATATACATCATGGTTTGTATGTGATGTATTCATTAAAGCATATACATCATGGTTTGTATGTGATGTATTCATTAAAGCATATATATCATGGTTTGTATGTGATTTATTCATTAAAGCATATATATCATGGTCTGTATGTGATGTATTCATTAAAGCATATATATCATGGTCTGTATGTGATGTATTCATTAAAGCATATATATCATGGTTTGTATGTGATGTATTCATTAAAGCATATATATCATGGTTTGTATGTGATGTATTCATTAAAGCATATATATCATGGTTTGTATGTGATGTATTCATTAAAGCATATATATCATGGTTTGTATGTGATGTATTCATTAAAGCATATATATCATGGTTTGTATGTGATGTATTCATTAAAGCATATATATCATGGTTTGTATGTGATGTATTCATTAAAGCATATATATCATGGTTTGTATGTGATGTATTCATTAAAGCATATATATCATGGTTTGTATGTGATGTATTCATTAAAGCATATACATCATGGTTTGTATGTGATGTATTCATTAAAGCATATACATCATGGTTTGTATGTGATGTATTCATTAAAGCATATACATCATGGTTTGTATGTGATGTATTCATTAAAGCATATATATCATGGTTTGTATGTGATGTATTCATTAAAGCATATATATCATGGTTTGTATGTGATGTATTCATTAAAACATATATATCATGGTTTATATGTGATGTATTCATTAAAACATATATCATGGTTTGTATGTGATGTATTCATTAAAACATATATATCATGGTTTGTATGTGATGTATTCATTAAAACATATATATCATGGTTTGTATGTGATGTATTCATTAAAGCATATATATCATGGTTTGTATGTGATGTATTCATTAAAGCATATATATCATGGTTTGTATGTGATGTATTCATTAAAGCATATATATCATGGTTTGTATCTGATGTATTCATTAAAGCATATATATCATGGTTTGTATGTGATGTATTCATTAAAGCATATATATCATGGTTTGTATGTGATGTATTCATTAAAGCATATATATCATGGTTTGTATGTGATATATTCATTAAAGCATATATATCATGGTTTGTATGTGATGTATTCATTATAGCATATATATCATGGTCTGTATGTGATGTATTCATTAAAGCATATATATCATGGTTTGTATGTCATGTATTCATTATAGCATATATATATCATGGTTTGTATGTGATGTATTCATTAAAGCATATATAGCATGGTTTGTATGTCATGTATTCATTATAGCATATATATATCATGGTTTGTATGTGATGTATTCATTAAAGCATATATATCATGGTTTGTATGTGATGTATTCATTATAGCATATATATATCATGGTTTGTATGTGATGTATTCATTATAGCATATATATATCATGGTTTGTATGTGATGTATTCATTATAGCATATATATCATGGTTTGTATGTGATGTATTCATTATAGCATATATATCATGGTTTGTATGTGATGTATTCATTATAGCATATATATCATGGTTTGTATGTGATGTATTCATTATAGCATATATATCATGGTTTGTATGTGATGTATTCATTATAGCATATATATCATGGTTTGTATGTGATGTATTCATTATAGCATATATATCATGGTTTGTATGTGATATGTTCATTAAAGCATATCAGTACAAAACGTCCTCACTTTTAACGCTTGTCACATTTGTAACATATCAGTACAATGCGACCTCACTTGTAATGCTTGTCACTATTATAAACTATACAATGCGTCCTTAAATTTAACGCATGTCACTTTAATGGCTCTTATAAAAAGTGTTATAAAAAGAGGTTACTGCACAGTTTACTCTCTTAAATGACCATTGTAAACAGACCTTTAATGTCTGAGTTTATCGTGATGAGCAGAGGCAGAGCAGAACGCGTATGCAGAATTCAGGTGGCTGACAAAACGAAATTCATCATAAGTGAACGTTATCTAAATGAAAAGAAAATTTAATTTAATTTCCAAATCAAACAAACCATTTTTGTTTGACTATACACATCAATATTACAATTAAACGTGTCAAGAATGCAGCTGCGAGCGGGCAAAATGTAATTTAAAATATTTATACGTCTTTTATTTCTAGATAGGTCATGGATGTCATTATGGTAGTTCAAGGAGTTTCTAAAATGATTCACCATTATAAATCAACATAGGTCAAAGAATGCATTATAATCCGAGAAATTAATGGAATCAGTCCTAAATGAAATCGTCAGCAATGGATAAAGTGCTGGAACTGACGTCATTAATCTTTTCTTTGAACATCGATCAATACGAGCAAATTTAGCCAAATGTCCTAGTCAGATTAGTCCAGTATAACATTCATTATCCAGAAACTCTTGGAACAATGATTTTATGTGGAAATTCGGTCGCTTAGATAATCGATTTTAATCAATTATGGATTTCAATCTTCAGATGCATGGTGAATGCTTGTCCAAGTGAACATCCTTATAAATGGCCTATTATTGTATGTGTATACCAGAGTATGTGTATAATACCAGAGTATGTGCATACCAGAGTATGTGTACACCAGAGTATGTGTACACCAGAGTATGTGTATACCAGAGTAACTAAGCATGTAATCTTGATTCAACACCAAAACTTGACATGCATGCTACGTGTATGACTCACGGTACTAATTCAGTTCCCATAGCAAACCATTGCAAACACCATGATAAAACTAAAAAATTCAATAACTTGAAGTTTTGGAGTGCTCATAATAAAAAATATAATTACCAGTATCGTTGAAACCTGGATGACAGCTTCTGTGTAGAGAAAAGGATATGAGCCGCGGCATTTTCTGGATCTACATGTGTTTGAAACACGTGCTTTCAATTCCGCACCAAAGAGTCAGGTGTTAATTTCAGTAGTGAGTGTTCCAAGCTCAAGACTGTTAAAGGACTGAAATTTCATCAGAAAAAACTGTTTTATGAGTTATAACTAGGATAAGCTTTTAAAAGATTCATTTTCCTAGAAAATAACTCATCAACCAATCCTGGCCAGCCAAACCCATATATACTCTATTTTATGTTCTCCAATTTGCAGACTGGTTATCATTTACCCATACATTTAGTACCATGTATCCTGTAGTACATTATTTATATTTTTATATACCTAGAATGACCAGTCTATTCATTTTGTCAGGTTTGTGATGTTGAGCTTATTATCAAAGACCTTTTAGTATTTATGTCATTAAAAAAGCGGGGGTTAGGGGTTTAGATCAAACATGGGCTTGTCATCTAATAAATAAAGTTAAGTATTGGCTGAAAATAATTCTTGCAAAATTTGTTTTCATCATTAAGAATATTTTTCCATCATGAAATTATCCTTTGAAGAACACAATTATCCTCGTAAATAATTGAAATAAATCATTCACCATCCTAACTGACTTAATTGACATTAAACCAAGGCTGCTAACGTATTCCAATTATTCTGGAGTCAATGAAATCATTGACTTCACATTTGGATTATTCTGTCTTACTTCAAACAATTTTTACTAATCTCATTTAAAGAAAACTTTATACATTTTGTAGTTGTCCCAAATGCAGTATAATTTTACTTCTAATGTATGAATATGAATTTATTTAGCAACCAAACTGCAGCTTACAAATCTGTGATAAGTCTAATATGTTGTTTATGGATGGTCAGAAAATATGACTTACCGAGACATTTCTAAAACCTATGCAAATCAAACATGGTATAATGTACATTATAGAGTTGTTATAGCGAAAAGTGGGACAAAAATCACAATGAAAAAGAATACAATTAATTTTACATTCTCAAGATTTTATTGCTTTGACATGAACATTCTGTTGTGTCTAAATGATAATAAATCACATCTTATTATAAAGTAATTTCAAAGAGGTCCGCTCGGTGGACAGGTGGTTAGAGCGTCCGCCCTGGATGTGGAAGGTCGCGGGTTCCAACCCCGGCCGAATTATACCAAAGTCTTATAAAAACGGTACCAACGGCTAGGCGTTCAGCATTAAGGGGTTAGTGTTATGACTGGTTGACCTTGCGTCAGGATAATGTGACTGGGTTGGACATCTTCAAAGATGAATACACGGCGCAATTATTGTCATAAGTTATCCGGCATTTTTTACAGGCAGGACTTTAAACGAAGCACCGTACATCGGTCCACACATTTCACAACTGGATTGTCATCAATGCTTCATTACTCGTTGTGCACTGTCGCCGAAATACACACAGATAACCAAAATAACCAAAATAAAATGCTCAAAGACTTAGGAATAAATTACATTTAAATCAACACGAACAATATCCAAATCGAACTTTTGAATCACCATGGAAAGGAGAAATAACTGCTCTAAAAAAGACCGGAACTGCTGAACCCGAAGTAATAATTGTGATCCGATTCCGTAACAATTACCGACGTTTTACACGCATGCCAGTACTAATGTGATGTATTTACATTTTTATGAGCAGATATAAGAAAATATTTCGCAGTGAAGCATACAGCACAAAATTTCCACTTCACGAATGCCAAAAAAAAAATATTTCCACTTCACGAGTGAAATATTTCTGATATCTAAATAACTCCCGTTGTTTAAATCGCAAATAATTTAGGTTTATATCTGATCAATACATTATACCCATTCCTAATTTAGAGTTCATTGATTCTTATTTTATCAGTTTTCCTTCAAAAACTCTGTTGAAAACATTTCATAATCGCCAGAGGCAAAAGATTTCTGCATTTCTGAACTTCAAGAAAAACAATTTTCCTTTATTACTATACCTTCCTGAACACAATATACATGTAATTATTATCAGACGCTCAATTCTTTATCAACTTAATACACTAATTAAAATTCAGAATCTCCTTTTGGTGATTGATTAAACAAAACAAAATTCAACAAAACATTGACATTTTTACAGATGCTCGCCGCTACTGCCATAAAATGCGAATCAATGCCTTCGCCTTTCGTCTTAAACTCGTGCCTAATGTTGCTTAAAATCTGAAGACATCATACGATGCAGGAATGATGCCATATCGGAGTAAACAATACTTCACATCTGAGACTACACATCTGGTAATGTTCCTGGTCCCAGTCACATGATGCCAAAGTTGTGGGTAAAAGCCACGGAAACTAAAGTGAATACAGTTATCGCTGCTGCAATTAATCATTGAAAAAATAAACGATTGTGTTGCTCTTAATGAAGAAGGCAATAATCGATATAGTATTTCATATGGCGTTACCATAGTAAAGGACGCGATCAACTGGTATTAGTGTATATTATCTCGGAATCAACAGGAAAACGTACCATCCATGTAGGTACTAATTAGAACTAAAGAAGTTATCACCTGGTTTGCTGGATTGCCTTTCATATCGTATATAATCTCATAGAAACATTCATTGATGAAAAGCTAAATTGTGTGCAGCAGGAATCAAATCTAAAGAAGGAAACTTTACCTGACATTCCCCAGAGAATTTCATTTTATACCTGCAATAAGAAGTGCTTCAAATGTTTCGACTAATGATTATGTAGTAAACTGCTAAATCAAGTAGACAATTAACCAACGTAACCTGCACTAATAATGCACTTTCCTGCAGTTATCGCGGTTATCGCTGCAAAGCCGTATGATTTCTTCATAATTCAAATTTGTTTTTTAGTCTTTTATTAATGAATTGGTCCTTAACATAGACATTAACACTATTTGCATAAAAGAGACAAATATAATGCTAGATAATTTGAATTTTGACGAAGATCATTGCATTGCGTTAATCTGGCAAACTGAGAACAGGTATCAATTATGAGAAAGGAGTATCACGAAGTGGTAAGTGTTGCTCAGTGCCGTTTCTTTCCTGTGTTTTTCTTCTTAATGAGAGTGCGCAAGACGGAGACATATGTATCGGACTGTCGCTGCACGAAAACTATTTAGGTTTATACAGTAAAAAAAATATGGCCATGTTTCGACGCTGAACACGGGTGCTAAAATTACGTTTCTTAACGCTTTTGCGATTCAACTTATGATTGTATGCTATGTTTTGATAATGAATATAGCCCTAAAAATTAAAATTAGCTTTTTAGTAGTTTGTGCTGTCTGCCAAAAATATAGCTTTCTTTTAATGGATATCAAAATATAACTTGTTTTAATGGAAGGAAGAAGAAATTCATAAACTAAAGCAGACCGAAAAGTCGCGACATTAAAGCGGTTTAAGTTTTTTAAAAGAGAAGGTTATGCACAAATTTATATCGTGTATAATTTCCTTGCAATTTAAGTTGAATTATATCAAATGTTATGGAGTCCACAGAAAATTTATTTACTTTTTGAATGACGCCAAACAGGACTTGATTTAAATGAACATGACGAATTGCATCCATTACAGATAATTACAATAGGAAAGCGGTTAAGTTATTTCAAAGATATAATAATGATAATGTTTAGTGCTTGCATACGGCCCTTAAAGATAACATTAGCTTTCCAAATTTGTTCAGTCTACAGAAAAGATTTTGCTTTTGACTTATTTGGCATAAATTTGGCATATGATTTGTTTTAAAATGGAAAATGAAGAAATGCGTAAAAAGAGCAATTGATACGTACTTAACAATTCCTACAATAATGCCGTTTAATGGAAAATGAAGGAATACGTAAAAAGAGCAATTGATACGTACTTAACAATTCCTACAATAATGCCGTTTAAATTATCTCAGATGTAATTTAATGTTCATGTTAAGGCCCTGAATTCAACTTTTAAAATGATAATTAGGTTTATAAAATCGTGTGCAGTCTACAGAAAGTGATTAGTTTTTAAATTATAATAAATTTGGTTTTATTTATTGGAAGATGCAGAAATTTGTAAAAGAATACGAGATTACTCTTGATTTCGCACAAGTTCGTTGGTCTTGCTACTCGCATACTTAAATCCCTTTAAAACAAAATAAAAGACAATATACATGACGATATAATTTTTCCGTGCTAAACGTCGATGACATGACCCAAAATTAATACTAATTTGATGAAACTGCATTTAGAATATCTTCTTGCTGTGGACTCTCAACATGGCTGTCAGTATTGTTCTCTCGCCTAATCACAGTTCTACGTGATGTCAACGTGATTCTGTGGAGCAGATGCCAATCTACGTATTTTCATGCTGATGCTATGTTAATTACTTAACAAGACTTGAATTTTGATTGTAATCAATATTCAATGAGCCATGTTAGTGATCACTTTGAATTTGGAATAAAATTTTTCACCTGAAATGTATTCATTGTTATTTTGAACCATACACTATTTTTAACAGAAGGACTGAATTGATAAACTGACTACAGAGTACTTTCTTGAAAAATTATGCTTTTTTATAATATTTTACACGTATAATTGCTTGAATATAACCAAGTAATATGGGTATAACGAGATGTATTTGTGCTTTGCAGCGATAATTTCAATAAAGAGCATGATCCCAGTTCAAGTCAAATGTATCCAAACGTCGAAATTAGTGAAAACAGGTGATATTTAACGGTAAATATTCTACCATGTTTATTAAATATTACAACAAATGAAGGTGAGCCATGAATATTTCAGCTTTCCCCTTAGGATAATACAAACGAGGTCCACACGAATTTTAAAAGGTCAACACGAATTTTAAAAGAGAGAGAGAGAGAGAGAGAGAGAGAGAGAGAGAGAGAGAGAGAGAGAGAGAGAGAGAGAGAGAGAGAGAGAGAGAGAGAGCACAATTAAGCGCATGGCCAGAAGTTTTAGGTAATGTTTGAGTATTATAGAACGTAATGGACAGTTACCTCTCCTTGCCAGGGGCGGGGGCAAGTGGTCTAAAGCGCTAACATTCACCGATCACTGCTATCTAACCTCGCGCGAGTTGGTGTATTGGGCTTGGCCAATGTTGGCATTTGAGAAAACTGGCCTGTAGCTTCTAGTGGGTCGGTTGTTTTTATTGGGGTTTTCCTGGGTTCTTCCTCCACCAGTTATACTGGTCGCCATGTATCTTGCGCTGAGAAATGTTAAACCCCAAAGCAACAAGAAGAAATATGCCAAATATGAAATTGGGTCAGCTACAGAAAGATAGCCTTTGTCATCCAATGTTGGTCATCCAATGTTGGTATATAACAATGTTAACAAGAGGCTCAAGTGATCCTGATGCCGATCACCTTGCATACATTAGGCTGAAAGGCAAACGAGTAAACTTTGATAGACGCCCATGACAGGAGATTCTATCTATCTGAATGAAACTGATGGTACCTGACATGCTCTTTTAACCGATTCGAACCTGATTAACTGCAGCTGAAATCAAAGATATATTGGCAAATTTCCTATGAATGTGAAACGTGTTCATGCCTGGAATCAACCTGTCGAATCGGACTATGTTAAGGCAGTTTTGGATAGAACATCGTTTTATCAAGGTTATATACAAAGATGACGATGTTGCAAGTGGAGTCGGTACGAACGCAGTTTTTATCAAACATTTCCTAACAAGCACTCCAGCCATTTTGAAGAAATTGAAAATTTGAGATTTTCCACCTGGTTACTAAGGAAGCTACATATATGCAGGGTGAACGATTCCGGACAAAATTATGAGAGCAGTGTTAAGAAACAGCAGTACCAAATCTGATAAAATTCAGCCTATCCGTACTTGCGAAGACGTAAAAAATAGACTTTACCTGTTTGACAATGATACCACACCATTGTTAGTTTGTCTACCTTGTTCGTACTTTCGAAAGTTTACGTTCTAACAAACATGAAATTTGCTCAGAACAGGCCCAGTCATCCCAAAGAAACTAAAAGTTTTTCCATGAGTTGCCATGGAATACACACCGTTGCTACGGATGCCACCCAAAACAATAGTTACATACAGCGCAACGTAACGAACATTCAACACTTTCGACGCAAATTAGCGAAGCGGTTTTTTGAATAGTTATAAAAAGCAAATATGGACGGTTAGACAGAATGAAAACCAACTACAG